CCGGGTCCCCTCAGGGAGGGGGGAGCCCCGGGCGGGTGGTGGCGGAGCGCGCCGGGAGGCGGCCTGGCTTCTCTGAGCCCTTCGTTGAGGGGTCTCCCCGACGGAGACGAGGTGGGGAAGGAGGCGACGGGAGAGAGGTGGCGACAGACGGGAACGGCGGCAGTCCCGTTGGTTGTTACCTACCCCGTATCCTCTCCCTCCTACGCCGTGCGGACCCAGAGCTGTGCTCGGGGAGGGTGTGAAGCGTAGTCGGACCAGCTGAAATGCAAGGGCAGGATCTGCAACAGATAAATAAATAAATAAACATTTTAAAAAGAGTATTTCTGCGGTGTGGAAAGGTGGGAATTCTGAGGAGGAGGGAAGTGTGAGGGGAGCAGGGCTGACAGCCGAGTCCTTCCTGGAGCGGGAGGCTCCCTTTGTGCTGGAGGAAAAATTCCTGTCAGAAATTGGGATGATTCTGAGAGTGTGATGGAAAGGTAGAGCCTTAGCAAAGGGTGGAAGGACAAAGCATGTGCAATTCACAGAGGCGTCTTTTTTTTCCCCAGGCAAACTGGAGGTTAACCTGAAAAAAAAGGTGAGGTGAAGACACAGGTTTATTTAGTCAGGATGGATTATGGAGGTGTTGAAAGTAAGCACAGCTGACTGTTAACACTGCGGGAAGAAAACTTTTTTTTTTCCCCCCCCTCCCTCTCCATTGAAGCTCTGTGCAGCCTCAGACAGAAGCACAAATCCATAAGACCTTTGTGTGCAGGCAACTCCAAGGTTTAACTCTTTGCTCCAAACCTGTTTTCTCTCATCCAGAATAAAATGTTTGCCTTTTTTTAACCTCAGAAGCAGCTAACCATCAACTTGCACAAAGTCAGGTGTGATCTTTGGTGAATCCAAAAGAATTAATCTCCCTTGTGCCTCTGTTGATATTTACTGTGGACAGCAGGAGTATCTTGCTTGTCTTCTAGATTTGAATTTTATGCATCATTTCTAATTTGGAAGTTTCCAGGTCCTCATATGTAGGCTTTGCTTAAGTCTTAGAAGTTTTGTTGTTTACTGTTACCAAAGGCCAATTCCAAGACCTTTTTAAATGCACAAAGGTTTTCTTTGGATGACCCAATTATGTGCTTAATCCTAATTGGGTCTGGAGCTGCCTTTTCAGCTCTGTTCACAACACAAACAACAGGAACGTCCTGTCCCACATGTAGTGCTCCTAACTGCTACAATAATACTAATGTATTATTAAAAATAATAAATTAAGTTATTTTGCCTGCTCTGCTTCATTCTCTCTTGCAGAAGAGACCAATATAGTAGAAGAGCTAAAGGGAACAAGAAAATGCAATTACATAGGTAGATTTGTCAATTGCACATTACAATTACACGCAATTACAAAGCTAGATAGGCAAAAACATCAGAGATGGAACAGGGAACTCTTGTGTACCTAAGGAAATGGTTATGAAGAACAGAGTGGGAGCTGCACCAAGGTCACAGAGAACAACAGGGAAAAGGGCTTTTATTAGCAAAAGAGAGACTATTAACTTGACAATAGAAAGCGATTCCTGTGTTATTTCAAGGGTAATTTACTGACACACAGTAAAAGATACTGTTGTTCGAGTTTACTATGGAGACACTACAAAAAGGTTTTCATTGTAGAAAGACAGTTGGCAGTAGCAGGCATTTTAGAGACACACTACAGATTCTGGCAGAATAACAGAAATATGGATGGAATAAATACTGTGGGATGCAGTACTGGCATATAAGACCAAACTAAATGAAAAGGTCAAGGAAATTTATTTTGAGAAAATGTAGTGATGTGATGGGCTAAGAGGGTAGCAAAGAATAAGAAGAGGGAAAGGACAACTGGGGCTGTCAATTTGAAAAAAGGCAACGCATTAGTTAAGAATTTGCACTGGATGATGCCTGCGCAGTTTGGAGCAATGTGTGCTTCTCTATCTCGTTTTACAAAGACAGATCTAATTGTCTATTGAAATACAGAATAGCTTCCACTCGGAACAGAGTGTTGTCTTCAGCACCAGCTTGAACTGATCAGGGAACAAACAAGCTGACTTACCAGATTTTCCTGTCTAAATATTATGAGCCCAACTCAGCTCAAAGTAAGCAAGCATGCTAAAAATGTTTAAACATGAACTATGTTTGGTTAATGCATCTAGGAGCAATTGTCACTATCCAAAACACCTTTCCTCCTCTATAATATTATGTGAGCAGATAGCTTTACCAATTGCCTTCAAGACAGCATCTAGGAAGCTATAATAGGGGCAAAATATACCCCTTCCTGGGTTTATTTATTACCAGCATAACGTAAAAGACTCGTATTCCAGGCTTGGCTGCCATGAGTGTTCCTTTAGGGATAAAGCTAGAACCACTAAGGTATTTAATTCCTGGTTCCTGTCCTTAGAACTATCCAGGCTACTGAGACAGTATGTGAAGAGAAGATATGCCCTTTGGGAACATTAGGTTAAGTCTTTGTTTTGCAAGGATTATGATATTTTTAATGGAGTGATATGGGCATATGTGAATTCTGCAGTTCTTTGCCATTGCTTTGGATCTTACAGAGTTTTGTAACAGCAGGCCAAAGCGGGCAGCAGCCAGGTTTGCCCAACGTTTTATGCAAGCCATACCAGAAAGCCTTGGCTCTAGAAGAGCAAAAGCTAAAGCCCCTTGGTTTTCCTTCCTTATAGGGATGAATCAGCAGGCTCTTTCTCTCCAGCCAAGTGACATTTGCTTTTGTTATGCCCAGGATGCAACTAATGAGCCACCAGCAGCATTGAGTCAGCAAGAGTTGCTCTCTTAGCAGGGTCAGCAAGAAGAGTTCATCGAGGAATGTTACCAGCTTAAGCAGCTTTGTAGTACATAAATGACCTGTCTCTTCCCTAAATGCAGTATATAACAAGGATTTGAATCTGGGGAAATGGAAATGGAGAACTCTCTCCAAGGAGAGGAAATAGCTTCCTGTGCAGCCCAGTCTCCCTTATCACAGTGTGTTTTTCTCTACACAACAATATATCTGGGAAATTCTAATTCTGAGGTAAAGGCTGTAGGGTAGGCATGAATTTTAGAACAAACAGCAGTTCCGCCCTGACCTGGAGGCCCTTTGCTGTTGTTCACAGAGCAGAGATCTGATGTCAGCACCAGTATGCATAATGGCAATATTCATTTCCTCACATGGGTATTACCTTTTGGATTGTTTTGTGCTTCTTGTGACAGTTATCTTGCCCATATTCAGAGTTACAACGTCCAAGCTCTTATGGTACGCAATAGTAACAGAGCTGAGGGTAAATAAGATTCTCTAAGATGAAAAGAAAATCTTTTATGTTTTCTGTTTTGCAGGAGATCCAGCTGTGGGGAAGAGTGCTTTAGCCCAGATGTTCCGCAATGATGGGGCTCATTTTCAGAAGAACTACACACTGGTAAGCATACAACAGGCTCAAACTGCTATCTGACCTTTTTCTAAGTTGCATGAGAAAACTAAGAAGACCTAGAACAAAACAAATAATACAGTATTAAGTTGAGGCATTTAAGGTGGGGTCTTACAGTGTTTTCTTTCTCTTGCACCATAGATTCTGAAGACAAACCGTTTACTATTCTGTAAGTCTGTACATTATTGGGTGCTGGTTTGGAAACTTAACTCCCCCCTTTAGGGAGTGCTCTATGAAAAAGCATTGCTGAAGGAGAAAGCTTTTAATTCCAACTATTAAATGTGCATGTGGACAGTGCGCTTATCACTGTGCAAACATGAAGATGTGCTGCATAGCCCCAAGATAATTATAATCTACAGAAACTGTTCCCAGATGAAGAGGATACAGTTTGCAGTCTTTCAGTGTGAGAATCAATGGTGATGACTAATCAGAAGCAGGATAAAAATAAAAGTAAATAAAAGTAAAGTAAAAAAAGGAAAGTATGAGTGTGGAGAAAAAAACCCTGAAATATGTTTATTCATTGAAATAAAGATGGAAACCAGAAGTTAAGGATAGAAATAGAACAAACAAACAAGCTACAAAGCAGAATGAGATAAAAAGTGGAAGAAGCACAAATAACCTTAGTCCCATATGTTAGCTGATCACATGGTTGGTGCAAAACGTTCTAAGGCGTGCTTTAGAGCAGCAATGTGATAGTGAACGTAGCCGTGCAGATTTCAGCTAGTACCCTTAGTTGTATACAAGCAAATCTCTGGACGTTGGTTCTTCTTTGGCTTTTTTCCCCCCATCAGAGCAAATCTACGTGGGTTTGACGTGTAGGTGGGAGCCATGAGGAGTTCTCAGCAGTCTATGTTTGATGGGATTTTAATGATTCACAAGAATTGCCTCAATCCAATGCATAGCTGGTATGAACTTGGACAGGCTCTTAAAAACTCTTCTGATCCTCGTTTTCCTGATTTTTCTTGACAGACAACGGGCATAGAACTGTTGGTGAAGGCTGTATCAGTTCCAGAGACAAGTGATAGTGTGGTGAGTTTTTCTGTGACACAGATTGGGTCAGAAAGAGATGTCCAGAGCTCAAGCCTCACTTCAGTCTCCTTCTGGTGGAAGACTGCTCTGCAAGTTCATAAAGCCATTAAGTTGCATGGAGGAAATGAGGCTGATCATGTACAATTGCTGATACTCCAGGGTTAGTTTAATCTTAAAAATGTAAGTTTTACATACTTGTATCTGACATGACATCTTAAACCAAAGCTGTTGCCAGCTTTGTTAGTATTCTGTTCTGTCCTTTAGGGCACTCAGGTTTAGTTCATGTTTCTTGTAACTACAGAAGCTGGAACTTACCTGTTATTTTTCCTTAATGCCCTATATTCCCAGTAGTGGAACGTGGACCACGTTTATAATTCTGTGTAAATAGTGCAGGTTACTGTCCCACTCCACATATTCTGTTTCCAGTAGGGATGGAAACCAGACTTGGGGCCTTGGAGGTAACCCTTTTATTGGTTATACGTGAAAAATAGCTTTTCTCATACTATCTGAACTGGAGTATTCTCAGTGCGGGAAACTTGTCCCTTAGGGACACAACACTGCTGTACTGAACAAAATGCAGGAGTCACGAGTTCCAGTATTTACTTTCAAAACCTTTTGCTACACTGCATTTTTCCTGGCAAGAGTCTTCTTTCTGCTTCCGCTTTCAGGAATTCTTCATTTTTGACTCTGCAGGAAAAGATCTATTTTCTGAAATGCTGGAGAAACTGGTAAGTCTTATGTAACAGTCCTCTTCTTCCAAAGAAGTGCTTTTGCTTTGAAGATCTGAACTCCCCAGTCTGGCAGATGTAGCAAACTTTGTCTTTAGTGTAAATGGGAGCAATTACCTCAGTTGCCAATGCATCCTGTTCTACCTCTCTAAAACTTGTAAAAGTACTGGAAGAAATACTTTCCAGAGGAAGGAAGGCAGACAGGCATTCAGTTTTCTTACAAAAGAAATAGAGATGTTTAACTGAGAATCGCTGTGTACTGTTGGTTAAAGTTATTTTTATTTCTATTTTGCTGCTACTCCAGCAGTGGGGGGTTTTTGTGTTATAGCAATGTGTTTGATCCAACAGGACTCATTCTTGTCCTTGGGCATAATACTGCCCTTGATTTTCTCCTTCATGCATTTGTGTCCTTACCTGTACAGTTCTCCATTGTGTTACCTCATTTTGAGATGTAGAGTCAACTAATCGACATGAGGTTTCATAAGATGGCTAAGTCAACCTGATGGTTCATAGCTCTACAAGAGGCAATTCCACTTTTGCCCTTGCACTAGGTCTGGTTTGCAAGAGACCCCTCTAGAAGCTGGCTCAGCTTCTCCAACTGGAAGAAAAGCTTTCTCCTTTTTTCTCTAGGATTATTTTTGCGCTGATTTAGCATGAAGAATCAGCTTCCCTAGGGATCAGATGAGTGCCAGAGCCGATACAAGTAAAGGAGCAGGACTGTGCAGACAGGAATGGGGAAAGAGCAAGACCACCTCTCCCAGTGCCAGCTATCCATTTAGTCAGCTGAACTGAAATGTGAAACCTCAGCCAGGGCATAGGATTCCTGTATGTTAGGCTTTTTATTTTTGTCTTAGCATCTGTGTTTGCCGTGTTTACAGGCTGGCTGTTGACCACATCAGTTTCATTAGAGCTGACAATGTTCCTTTCTTGCTGTGCAGTGGGAGCAACCCAACGTCCTGTGCCTTGTGTATGATGTCACTAATGAGCAATCTTTCAACAACTGTGCCAAGTGGTTGGAGAAGCTGAGGGCTCAAGCAGTTGGACTGCACATCCCCGGTAAGAAATGGGTGAGATTCTTGTTATCTGCTCCCCTCTTGTATGACAGCAGCTGTTCCCTTTGAGATGTGACATGGAGCGTTTATTTTAAGCTGGGGACAGGCATGGCTTCCTCCAGCTCATCTGCTTTTATCACAAGGCAGATAAGGCACGAATGTGTTTCCTTTGTGGAAGCTTTTTTAGGTAGTTGTAGGCTGTTCTCCACACCTCCAACTTTTTCAGCTACTTCTACAAATGTTCCAGCATTTATTGCTAATAAGTCAGCATTTCTGGGTTGTTGTTTTTTCTTTGTTTCATCTTTTTTTTTCTGTAGGTGTCTTAGTGGGGAATAAAACCGACCTGGTTGGCCGTCGGGTTGTGGAGCAGAAACAAGCACAGGAGTGGGCTGAGAAACATGGCCTGGAATACTGTGAGATGTCAGTGGTGAGTATCTGCTCCTTTCACCATCTGTGGAAGTGGGTGTTTGTAAAGTTATCGTCTCTTTCGGGTAAAGAAAGATAATTGGGGGGACTCTTCCCCTTGTTTGTCATCTAACTCACCATCAATTTTAATCTGTCTTTTGTGAAGCAGTTAGAGCAGAAGTAGTCAAATACTTATTCCAGCTGTCATTCACAACTTTCTTATTTCTTTACAGAAGGAGATGAAAAATTTTGAGGCCCCTTTCCACATCCTGGCAAAGTTATTCCACCAACTGTACAAAGAGAAAGTGGAAACTTTCCACTCACTAGCTTGAGGGCCATGACTGGGATGACTTATTTATCCTCTCAGCTTCTTCTAGTGCCCAGAATCCTGCAGGATGGAATACAGAGAGAAGAAAAATGATGAGCTATTTGCTTCTTCATGGTCATCTTCTGGTAATTCAAAATAAACTAGAAATAAGCAAGTGGAAAGCCACTCTTCTGAAGTTGCTACCTCAGCATTCCTTTCATGTCCTCTGACTTGGTTCTCTGCTCGCTGAAAGTCTGCTAGGTTGGAGGAGGCGGGGAGTAAAAGGGGAGGGCATAATGGAAACTGCCAGCTTTTTGCTTTGATATTGTCTTGTCTCTTGTCTGAAGAGACTTCCTGCTGCTACAAGCAAGGATTTAGAGGTTCGGAGAAGGAGAGAGAAAGCTGACAGGATGTTTTTCAACTTAAGCAACCCAACCTTGATACATATGTTACAGGGCAGGGCTGATTCGGTCCTGCAGCTTGGAAAGCGTTTTCAATAAGAGGCCTGTGTCTTAAAATCAACACATGGAGGCAGAGATGTGCGGGGCCCGAGCTGGATTTAGGTGTGTTTCTAGGAGTGGCCAGAGTTTGGGACCTGTTTTAGCAGTGTTACCTTTATGAGTTGTAGGACTGATATGCTGGTGACTGATATGTGCTTCTGACTTCTAGAACCTAGTTCTTTTCTTCATCGTGGCTCGCTTTCACTGCCTGGTAGGAACTGTCTTGCATCTGTAATGCTGTCACTTGGTAACGCAGTGCCCTCTGCTGGTCCCAGGTCACAAGATTTCTCAAGAAGCTACCTCTCTTGAAGCAAGCAGGGCTTCCTACAGGCACATCCAAATTGGCTTATCTGCAAAATGGGGTCAGATAGCAAGAATAGCTCTTTTTTTCTCGGGAGGAGACAAAAATTTTAAACAAATTGCATTTTCTTTTTCATGCATTTGTCATCCTCTGTGGTTTTGTGTCATTTTTCTTTTTGCCAGCCGAACTTGGCAATACCATGTTCTCATTAGGTTGAGTTCTCAGTCCCTTACAAGAATCAGAGTCCTCTTTGTTGTTAAACTTTCCTTGCTTGTCCTTGAATTTTGGATTAAAGACCACGATTCTGATGTCTCTAGTGGAAACAGGACTCAGGAAATGAAAGACAATCTGGCTAAGTTACTGTGACTCAGCCATGTCTGGCTGGAATTTTTGTATCAGGAAGGGTAAAAGCCTAGAGAGAACTGCTCTTTTGTGTGGAGTACTGATGTTGCATGTGTGAGAATCTATTTGTTAATGCAGTATGTGAAAGCATCCATGGTTAAGGTACTGCCTTGTAACTGAGCCTTACACTGAGGAGTTCAGAACCGTAACCTTTCTTTTCTCCCAGATTATGTTAGCCTCCCTTGGGCAAATGAAGCCGATTTTTGTAGAGAGTAAGCAGTGAGTGATTTTTCAGGCAGGCTTTTCAGGAATCTGTGTTTCAAGACTTTTATACGTGCATTTGATAACCATTTTTATGCCCAACGCTAGGAAAAGTACGTTGGATTGAACATAAGAAATATGGCTGCAGATGTAGCTGAGTTTATGAAGCACTTCAAGAATCTGGAGAAGCAGCTGGGCTCATTTCACTGGCAACAACAGTGTGTTGATGCTGGGAATCAACATAGGGAGCATGAATACCAGCTAAAGAGGTTAAGCAGGAGCTCAGCCCACAAGAAAAAAAGATGAATAGGTTCTTTTGCTAGAAGCCACCTCAAAAAATGACAGAACCAGCTGGGAAAGCTCTTGCTTCCTCCGAAGAAGGAAGGACTCCTCCATGGGCTTTGGACTCACTCTTTTTTGAATTGGATTAGCATTACTGGTGTTTTTCTCTTACATGGGTTGTCTTGGTAATTCTGGGGGGGTGTCTGTTGATTTACCTGGGTTGAGTAGAGTCTTGCCTGCAGGTGCTAGTACCTCTGACTGTTAAGAATAGAAGTTATTTTGGATGCTGTGCTGATCTAGTTAAAGAACTAAAGAAGGTTTGCTTTGATTTGGTAGCTTGTTTCCCCCTGGTTCTATTGATGCTATGATTACAACACAAGACAGATATTTTTTCATATTGAAAATAGCATGCCAGGTGCGTATGCCACCTGTGACGCGTTATATAGGGGGTGAACGCCTTGGAGATGGCTGATAAAGCGAATCCTATGCAATCTTTAACCAGGGAGTTCCAATCTCTCTGCACCAGAAAGACCCCATAACTTCAAATAAACAGACTAAAGGCACCAGTAAGATGAAGATTGGTGAATGCTATTTTATTAAATGAATGCAAAAGCTGGAGGATCTCATTAAGGGAATGCTTGCAGTAGTGATTTGTGATTTATAGGGAAGCTGCTTTTGAGAGGTTAGTGAAGAAAAATGCATCCCATGCAGGGAAAGATGTATTGCCCGGGAGAGGAAATGTATGATCTAATTAGCTAGCAGTAGGGATTCACCCACTGCCCCTTTCCCTCTTTCCACAGGCCATGACTAGAATTAGGAAAGAGCTTGTGTCTAAAGTATGTTGCCCAACTTGCTTTTTACAGGACTGTTTCAAGCACGTAGACACAATTTAATGTCCTTCAAAATAGTATGTTTGACAATTACCATCCCAGTCCTTCCAAGTGCATTTTAAAAGCATAATGTGTTGTCCTTCCTGGCTAATGTGCTATATAATACAGCATGATGCAGGTGGTGCTTGTTGCTGTTTTCCTAGCTTATTTGTGACCTTGGTTGTAGAGGCTAGTAGTGAAGAGTGGGTAGAGAACATGGGAGCCAGATATAGGAAGGCTGCAGAAAATAGTTTTGTGTCTGTGTGAAGGAGTTTAGGGTAGCGAGCAGGCGAGCTGGACAAGCAGGATGAGTAAGAGTCTGACGCCATTATTAAGCTGCTCTTAACTATGTTCAGTAACTGTTGTGGTCACATCTGCAGGGTGAGGATGCATGTTTGCTGCTTGTAGCCTCAGCATCACTCTGAATTACAGACACCGTGGAGAACAGTGGGAGGAAGGCAGAAAGCCTGTCTGCTGACCAGGAAGCTTGCTGTCTTCCTACAGCTCCCCTGCTTTGTCCAACTGTGCAGTGCTGCAGGTGCTCAGCATGGATGTTTACAACCCAGAAGAGACCCGGCTCAACCAGAACTGAAATTTCAAAAGAAGGGGGAGGAAACAAATAGGCCTTTAACTGTTTTTTAAGAGATACATAGCCCTTCTTTTTCCTGCCTGCTTGTTTGATTAGACAAAAAACATTCTTTCCTCCTTGGAGCCCCTCCTTCTTACCTTTCCTTTGGTCCTCATGGTTCTGCTGCGCAGAATTGCTGTTATACTTCTGCCCTGCTTTACTTAGCTTGATACATCACCAGCTGATTTTTTTTTTTATCCTTCTAATTTCTGCATTATCTATTCCCAAGGCTGCAAGGCATTTCTTCTTAGAGAGATTAATAGACGAAAGAAAACAAAAGTGGAATTTTTAGTCAAATTGTCTTGGAAGAAAGAACCTTAAGAAGCTGACTGACATTCTGAAATTTTACTGGAAATTCGTTTGTGTAAAGTTGTCATATTAAAGGTGCTTTAATGGTTTTGTTTTGTCTTGCCAGACGTAGTCTACTGTGGAGTGAAATGCAGGATGTAAAATTCCAGAAAGAACAGGTTTTATTGTGGGAGTTAATAGGAGTTTCAAAGCTGATCACACTGTGATAAGATCTGTTCGGTCTTAACAATGGAGTGGTCACTGCTGTTCATAATAAAGCATTAAATATACTGAAATGAGGCTGTCAGAACAGTTTCTTCTAGAGATTTGTTCATTTTAGAGACTTAAAACTTAAGAAAGGACATCTTTCAGAAAAGTGATCTGATAAATGACACCATTTGGACCAGGGTTATTTCTGATATTACTTCAGTGACTTAAAGGGCTGGATTTAGTCTTTTATGCCAATTGACTCCCCTGGGTAAGCTTCATTTCTTTACCCGCTACACATCTTGGACCGATCTGACCTGATAGCAAAAGACACATGATGTTGTTGAAAATGAAATACTGCCTTGGGGCAGAAGGATAAACTGTGTGGCCTCCTGAGGTCCTCCCAGCAATACTTTCTATAATTCTATTAGATTAAGTGGGGAAAGAAGTAGCGTGGAAAGCACAAAACAGGCTAAGTCATAAACTAGCAATTAAACTGGGAGCTGGGCTGGGCTACAGCAGAAAACGTACAATCTATCCCAATTAAGAGCTGTATCTCAAGAGAAACCAGGAGCCTGACGCAGGTGCTGACAGCAGGGAAAACGCTGCATTTCTGTCCTGTAGGCAGCAACTGCTTTCTGCTGGTGCTTACAGAGATCCATAGGGGGTCTATACCCTGCTCAAGACTCTGCTCTGCTTCTAATAATTACTATATCTGTGATGTTCAGGTGGCAACTGCTTGCGGTTGTTGTCTCATCTGCCTGTATAAAGCCAGCAGTGTGAAGGCAGATTATCTGCCAGTAGCAGGAAGACATTTCTATTCTTGACACCATCCGTGATGGGGCCCCTCTCTCCCCATGCCTTCTCAGTCCTTCTTTTCCTGTCTCGTATCCACTTCTTGATGTAGAACATCCACCTCTGCGTGTTCTTAGCAAGTAATTTTTCCATCTGGCAGATGGTACTCCTTGGAAGCTGGGGCTAAGGGACTGCTAGGACCTTCTGCAGCAGAGGTGGAGTCTGAGCAGGGGCTCTTCAAGGGCCGTGTTGGCCCCCGCAACGTCTCTCTTCGCCTAAGGGCACATCATCTCTCTGCTGCTCGCATCCTATTTCCTCCTCCTGCTGTCATTTTGCCTTGGGAACAACGTCTTCTGTGCCGGGTGCCCTTGGCTCTGTTGACCCGGAACAGCAATGCTTGGGGGAGGGAGAAAGAGGAGAGCTGCTCCATCACTAGTCTTTTCAGGGATCTTTAGGTGTTGTGGCTCCCTGTCGAAGTCACCTGAGAGATGGGGATGTTGCTCAGTCTAGAGTGCAATTTCCTGGCAGGAGACCCCAGCTGAGTCCCGGCAGCCTCATCTTGGCTCTTCAGAGCCTGCTGCAGTGCAACTTTCACAGACACTGGCTGTTCTCATTCTGACTTGGAGTTTTGGGTTTGCTTGTTTGTTTTTGTTTTTTTTTTTTTTT